CTTGTTTGTTTGTACTAAGCGTTTGATTTATACAGTTTTTTATCTTTTATTTTGCTTTCTCTTATTTCTTTTTCTTGAGAAAGGTCATTTAACATTACTGAAAATGTTTGAAGTAATAAACTTCGGCTGCAGGATAAAGTGTCTTAGTAAGTCTTTTGGTATTAATAGAAAGAAATCAGAATAGAAAGAAATAACCCTGAAACTGTAAGAATTTTATATTTTGTCAGTAAATTTTAAAAATTATTGTCAGGAAATTTTAAAATGTTTTGTTGTTTTTAATTTTTATATAGAATGTGTCATAAAAATACCTGCTGATGAGGGACAAACAGGTCCGAAACACAATGTTAGCATGTATGTTTCAGGTAAATTAAATAAAACAATTTTCTAATCTGTGAAACTGAGTTGCAGTATCTTAAAGCCAGTTTAATAAGTCCTCTTAATAGATATGTACTAGTGGACAAAATAATATAATAATAAATTAAGGACATTGAGGCATATTAATTGAGCTTTCAGGTAAAAGTTAGCATAGATTCAGCTGCCAAAATATATATATATATAAATATACAAAAAATATAGGTTTTCATTTGAAAATAACAGGTTGACCTTCATATGAACTTGAAAACATGCTCAAAATAAAAGTAAATACACCCATTACCCTTTCACCTTCGAAATAAACATTTTATTTTAAACATTTTGCAACATGTAATTTTGGAGCTATTTCAGTTTTTCAGATTAAATGCCTCATCCTGCAATTGCCCTGGAATTTTTAAACATTTTTGCATATCAAGGCATATGAGTAGCCTCAATTAAAAGATCAAACTCCACCGTACAACCATTGTGTTCCTGAAGTGTTAAAAAGGACAAAATGCGAAGACATTGTTTCTCCCAATTTTTTGAACATACTTTTTATAATAAATTACTCTCCTATTCTCACTCAGATTCTTTAACAATATACACAGTCAACACACCTTAATACTGAGAATGCACATTTATTGAGCTAAATAAATGTTTTCAACCCATTTCATGGGCCATCATCAGGTTAAAGACGTTCAAATCTAAGCAATTATCGAACACGTTCAAATTTAAATTATATTAGAACATACGTTGAAATTAAATTACGTAAATAAGCATAACGAAATTAATACAATAAATACGAAAAACAAAATAATATAAAAAAGGAATACAAAATACGGTAATTTCCTGCAATCCAATATGTAAACATTTTTTATATATTAACCCAGGTTTTCATTGTATCATCCTACGAGTTTTTTCTGATTATGTATTTCCATGCCGACAGTAAAATGGTTGCATCCTTATAGTTTAAACATTTATCCGTCAAGCTGGATCTGTAGATCTCACATTTCTCTGTTGTGGATGTAGATCCGTCAAGCTGGATCTGTAGATCTCACATTTCTCTGTTGTGGATGCAAGTGTTGGCGAGTGTACCTTTGCCACGATTCTGGCCTCCTCCCATTTAACTATGGATCCATCCGTTTGCGCTATTTTTGATAATGCTGTTGCATATCGTCTCTTTGGTGAGATGGCAGACCCTGTGGTTGAAGGTTGAGTCGGTGTCATCCTTGTATGTTAAATGTGTTTTTTGTGTTGAGAAATAAATGTGTTTACAAGGTTCTAGTGCATCGTCTGACTTAATTAACGAGCCGGGACTATGGTCCCTCACATATTCATTCCTGTTTCATATTGTTGAACGTGTTTATGACAGCATGTAGATGTATGTAGAATTTGAACAAATTAAGTGGATCAACAAACTACATTAAAAAGGTTACATTTTTGAAAATGTAGTTCACTTTACGCCAGCGTTTAGAAAATTAAAAATATGACACTTCCATGTTGCGGCGTTATTGACAGTGATTTGTTAAATTTCAGACGTGCTCGCTAGTACTTTCAACAGTTTACAACTGTCGACTTCAGGCGAAATCGAATACCTTTGTTTTCGAATTGACAGCTTTTAACGGACTTTCCAAATTACGTAATGCATGTGGCTGGAATATAGAACAAATTAATAAAATTGAATAAATAAATATTTTCTTTAAAGGAACCTGCTGTAATAACTTGAATTCCCCAAAACATACAAATATTGATTGATGGTGCCGTGCATAGTAATGGAATAAAATTAGAACACAAAATTATAACTTGGATTGTTTAAATAAAGTTATCCATAACTGTGGTATTTCCAATGTCAGCGTATTGCACGGCAAAGCAGCGGATATATAAAGATTTTCCCATATGAATATTTGCCTACGATCATTGCAATGCTTAAGTAATTTAACCTGGTTTCAAAGTGGAAGATAATCTTGTTCTAGCACCTTTTTCGCTAATTCTGTAGCTGGTCTATTATTTCTAATGTCTTCTTGATGTTCGAGGATACGGAACCGTATCATTCTGGTGGTAGCTCCAATATAGATAATTTCCTCCCCTGATACTGTATGTTTTAATAGAATAATACGTAATTTGGAAAGTCCGTTAAAAGCTGTCAATTCGAAAACAAAGGTATTCGATTTCGCCTGAAGACGACGGTTGTAAACTGTTGAAAGTACTAGTGAGCACGCCTGAAATTTAACAAATCGCTGTCAATAACGCCGCAACATGGAAGTGTCATATTTTTAAATTAAGGTTACATTTTTATTATAAGCTGAACTCATCTGCATTATATAAAGAATTTTATGACAAAAAAACCCAACAATGGTGGATTAGATTTGTAATATCTAAATGCTTACTAAAATGTATAAAATAATCTTTTCCCGACTCCTTCAATTAATATTTCCTCCACATACTTCATTTTTCTTATTGAAAGAAACAATGTGGGAAATCTTTCTATATCTGATTGGTTGCCATTCTCAACATACCTCACTGAGTACTTCATAGAGCACTGTCATAACATCCTTCACTATGGTGAGTGATTAGTAGTGAGAAACAAAGTGAATATAAATTGTTCCATCATCCTGATGAAGGTATTATACAACTGCTGCCTACCAATCAGATTTTTCCATTAAACAATTACATCTTTACATCTTTTCCAGTTGAAAACTCTTACTAATAGAGTTCACATGCTTCTTAATGCATTTCTGCAAAATTCTCTAAATGGAGCCCATAAAATAAAAATCATTATTTTTCCTGCATAAGCTTATAATGTAAATGCCTGCCTTGGCTCTATTACTCAAAGATTCCAATGTCCTGCCAATAATAGGTGCTGTTCCAAACAAAATAAAAATTTGATAATATTCAAGTCAAATCAAGTCAATTTGTTATTACCTTGTATGTGTCTGACCCCATTCATTCTGATGCAAATTACGTTTTTAGCATATCTATTATTATAGAGGAAAATAAGTTCTTGTAACAATATGATTACAGTTCTTGATTACAGAATGGTAATTGTATCAGTCGGTTCATACTTGACTTTTCTAAGGTCCACAATTACCTATAGAGGACTATTAATTAATTAATGGAGTAATAAGATTTACAATTTAAAAAGCAAATAAGAATATGTAACATTCACTCAATGGTGAAGGTAGGAGCAGAAGAATTTTCTAACAAAGACCCAAGTGACCAGTTTGGCTCATGCAATTTTAATCTGGCAAGTGATCTGAGAGCAACTGCCCTTTTTGGGAAATAAAAATTTTAAAAAGATGGTAGCATTTACTTTTTCCAGTTATTATATAACAGAGGGAAAGTGTGGCAAATCAGTCAAAAACCAATCCCCAAAATTTTTACATTTTTGGACTCAGGACCTTGAAATGTCAAGAAATGCAAAAAATATTGGAGTTTTTTTCTCCACCTATAGATAGTGTGTATGTGTGGGGGCATGATTTTTTCATCCACTTTCAAGCTTAATTACACCTGTTCCTTCTGTCAAAACTCTGAAATTTTGCAAGGAGATTTGTGTATTAAAGGAAATGTTTCTAGAAATTTTCAGGAAAATCTTGGTTTGGGAGATACAACCCACCTTTTAATGTCTCAAAAACTTCCAAGTTATGCACCTGTAAACAAAAAAATTATACTTTAGAAGTTGATCTAGTATCAAAAACATTTGATTCAGCACAACACAGTCCTCAGAAAAACACCACACAAAAGTGCCGGTGCTGCCAGCTAAAACACACACACCACAAAAAAAATATTGGAGTAGCCCAAGTCATTGCCAAAGGTTGCAGCACCACAGCACTAGCAAAAATTTAAATTTGCCAACTGGAATGCTTTCGGTTAACCAACGTTTCAATTGACTAGCTTTCGGATAAACGACGCTATACTGTAATACAAAAGTTATTTTTTAAATAAAATCTCATAACAGATGGCACACACAATTTTAAACTTTGCTAATGTGTTTCTTAAACATGTAATAATTTTCACTGGAAATTTTACACAACTCATTGCTGGATTTTTTTGTTCCTGTTTAAGGCTTTTCACTTTCACCATTATGGAGTTTATGGGATCGTGGTCTAATGCTGCAGCTTAAGTTCTTAAAAGGTAGTCGTCCATCTTGGATAAATACAAGCTTCTCTTAAGGAAAACCAGCAGTTGATGGATGAACTCTTCAACTTGGGCAATAGATATTTCTATATTTGAATTAGCTGAGGATATTATAACACGAGTAAAAACATCTCTATTTAAGTTTTTGCTTTGGTTTCTAGAAATAAGCATTTTTATTGACTCTAAACTTAAATGCAAACTTATGATACCATGATAATTACTGAAGTTTATTACAAACACATGCAATCCTAAGTTACTGTGCTTTAAATTAAATTATACTGCTAACATTTTAGATCATTTTAAATGGCCACTGTGGGGTGAAATTCCAAAAGAGTAAAAAATTGAACAACTTATTGAAATATCCTTTTAAAATTCTGACATTACAATACGTTTAAACGGAATTCCAATAAGTTGTTTGATTTTTTATTCTTTTTGATTTTGAAGTTTATTATTTTAATAATAAATTCTGAAAAATAATTATTCAGAATTTCTATAATTTAGAATATGGTACAAACCTTGGCAAAAGTCCAACTAGCTGCAGCTCCCTCCAAGACAGAGATTCTAAATCTAAAAAGAAAACTGAATTTAGAGGTCGATCATTCCGACCGAGACCACAGGAGATGAGGACACCAAAATTCCAAACAACCGCAGAATGAGAATGCCTTGGTTCGGGAAAGTGCTGGCAATTTTCCACCTGAAATTTGAAGATTACCACAAATCAATAATTAATTTTTTCATATGCATCAACTGTTAATATACGATCATTAGATACAGATGCTACAAATCTTTAAATTTTTAAACATTGAAAATTAATATTTGCAAAACACATTGGATGAAAAAATCATTATACAGCCAGTTATGTCCTCTCCTTGTGTGATTGAAATACATATTGCCTGGAATTTTGTTTTTCAATGTGTTAGAAAGATATTTAAATAAAATGAGGTTTTGCAAGTCTAGCATCTGTTTCATAAAATTGAAATGCAGCTATCAGACATTTTAACAGAAATTAATTAGAAAAAAAGATTATTTGTTTATTGAAAAACAACTTTTTATTGATGCATTACTATCTGATAATATTAAACAATTCTTAAAAATGCATCAAAGTTCTTTTATTTTTTATTTCATTATTCTATTTATTTTACACATTATTCTATTTCTATTTATTTTATTTTATTCTATTTATTATCTTTACAATATTTTGAAGTTTTCTCTAACATTATTTCTTTATTGTATATTTTTGGGTTTTGACTAATAAATATACTTTGTATTATGCATAGTAATCATTTTCGAGTTTCGACTTAATAACAATTTCATTCCTATTTATTGCCCACAAAAAGTCCAGGTCTGCACTTTCAAACCTTCGTTTATGTAATGCAACATTAGGATATTATCCAGGCTTTTGATCGAATATTATAACTAAGACATTACAAATGTTTTTCTTGTTTTCTTTGGATATATAATGCTTGAACTGTTTTGCTTGCAATTGTTTGGCTTGATCTGTTAGATGCCATCTTTTATTATTAAGTGACCATATTTCCAGAGTAGCAAGTTTGGCAATCACAATGGATTACTATAAAATTATCAGCTATGTTTTGAATTGATCCAGCAACTCATTGATGTTACTGATCTCACTAATTAATGCAGAGGCTATTTCAAGTCTGGTTAAGGATTGAAAACACTGCATAGTGGTTGCTGTAATCAGTAGCATCACATGTTCTTATACCAAGTTATATATCTGCTATTTCTCTTTCATACACTATAATAAAGGATCAGTACAAGAAACAAGCTTTTACATCTCCACTAAAAGTATCAATAGTATCAATAGTGTTATTCATCAACATAAAAACCATGAGTCAGAAAAAAGTATTTGGGCACCACATCCCAAAGAATTGAGCAGCTCCCTAGCTGTACAAAGGCTATAGTGGAGAAACTCAATGACAGAAAATCCTGCAATAATTTCTAATATTGCTACACATGTGCACAGACCAAGGGCAAACATACACCTTATGATCAAACTAGACTTGATGTTAATTATAATAAATAATTACTAAGCTATTTGGCAGGAGGAAAGCCAACAGGATCATCATCTTGTGTGTACACACCATGCCAGGATTAAAGCATAAACTGACTCAGGTGTAAAGGTGAGAGAAGACTGTCATTAGACTTAGTCTATGATAGAGGAAGAGAGAGGTAGAATTAGGAGATGTAGAGTTGAGAGGAGAAGGTGGGATAAAAGGAGAAGTTGTGATGGAAGTTGTAAGGATATTTCAGATAGGGAAGGTGGGTTCTCCTGGAAGCCATGCAATGCATATATTTAACTAGTTCCATTTTGAAAATACAGTATTTATATAGAGTAATACAATAATACTGGGTGTTGGTGGTTCCGATTTTTTCCTTTGTTATTGTCATGTTGTCATCTTCACTTCATGGTGTCTCCCTGTTGTTGTCGTGTTGTCACATTGATTGTTTGTGGCGCGTTGGCTATTGGTGGATTTGCTGCGATGTCTTCTGGTATTTGGTTAGCTTTTCTTCACTTTATTCCTTGTGCCTAATAGAGATTAGACCTCATTAGCAAAGGGCTATACTGTTTATGAACATGGCTATGTACAGTTCCTTTTTGCTGCATAGGTCACTTGGGTTTGGCGGCCAGGACAGTCCCTGCTGAATGCAGTTTGCGTAAAGAGGACTACGCTGATAATGTTTTGGGCAATTGAAAAGGACATGATGTGCATCCCCTGTTCATATATTATCACAGTCACAGTGCTCACTGTCCACTTTTTTGAATCAGTGCAAATAATATGGGAAGTCCCCATGCCCAGTTAAACACTGTGTTATTTTATAATTTGGTGTGAAGTATGACATGCACTGCCGTTGACTGATAGATGGAATAAAGCTGTGGATAAGCCTCTCCATTGATGAGTTCATCCAATCCCTTTGCCATTCTTCCTTGATTGCCTCCTGTATGTGGTTTTGTATGTGCTGCAGAGGGATTGTGCCGAAGGTAGTATACATGTTCCTGGCCACTGCATTCCTGCTAATTCATCTGCATGGTCATTTCCTTTGTTGTTTGAGTGGCCAGGCACCCAATAAAACTCAATTCTTCTCCTTTCTGCAATATTTTTGGCTAGTTGCCTCAACATAATTCCTGTTTCAGTTGTTTTCCCTGTATTTTTTATTGTGCGGAGAATGTACCTGCTGTCTGTGAAGAGAGTATGTTGCTGTTGATTCTTTTGCACATTTTGTGTACATACAGAGAGCCTGGAGCATTGCCCACAGCTCCACCTGATTGTGCAGTGAGCATCCAGTTTATAAGATTGTTGGTGAATTATTTGGTGTTTGTCATTGTAGATTACGCTATTGGCACCTCTTCAAAAGCTACTTTTACAATTTCTGTGGTGATCCCATGCTTTTTATTCGCCAGGGTTCTCACTGCATTCCTCACCTCCATGAATGAGAATTGCCTATCATTGTCTGTGCTAATTGGCCTGTCAGCCTCCTTCCTGATCTGGGCATGTACTGCCTGGTCATCCTCCCACCCATCCGCAGGGAAGTGGGTGTTCAGAAGGTCCTGAATGCTCGAATTAATATTATAAGTATTATTATTTTCTGTTTTGAAGATGTGTGGGTTATTTTGGTTTCTTTAAAAACTATCCAGTAGGGGTGGCTCCATGGGTTTTTATTTTGCTGACTGCAGTATTCTTTCCATGATGAGGTTCTTGCTTTATTTATTTCTGATTTGTATTCCTTTATTTTCTTGTTGTATTCCTTTTGCTTTTGTTATTTGATCATTGCATTCTGCTCCCTTTGTAGGTGTCGCTGACATAGCCTGACTTCCCTCTTTAGTATTTCCAGGCTCCCAGTCCATCATTGCATGCCCTTGTGTCTTCCGCATTCTAGTTGTAGCTTGGGCTATTGCCCTTGACATTGTTTCAGTTAGTCTGTCAGCATATGTATCAATCTTATCTGGGATGTCAGGGAGTCTTAATTGTTGTATTCTCCAATGCTCAGTGAAAGCATACCTGAAAAGGTCCCAGTTTGTTCTCTTTGTGTAGTTGTTGTCAGTTGTAATTGCCTGGCGAATCCATTTAATTCCATGAAAATGTAGCAGTGGTCACTCGCTGAAGGGATTAGTTGTGTCTCACAGTATTCTATGTAGTGGCCCATCTTGTAGGGGCTATGCACATGATCCAACTTCTGGCCCTGCCTATGAAAAAGGTAGGGACATCTGAAGTATTTAGTGACAGGCATTCATTTGTGTCTATCCAGTCACTCAGCAGTCTGCTCCTGTGATCCTCTTCTTCGTGGAACCACAGGGGAGATTTTCTGTTTATGTCCCCAGTCACTATGTAATGCTTGCTTTTAATAGCTTTGATGATGATGTCTAACTCTTCCACACAGCCTTTGTCATCATCTGCATGCGAGAAGTAGACACTTATAATGTATAGAGGAGATTCTTGATTTATCACCACTGCTTTTATTCGGTCTGAGCTAAGATCAGTTACATGAGTATCATTGCTACGTCAATATTTGTATTTCAGGGAATGACTCCATTTCTGGATTTATTGTACTGGCTATTGCTGTACACTTGCCACTGAGATGGGCAATTGAACTGTTAACAGTGTATGGCTCCTGAATTAAGACGATGTCTGCATTTACATTGTTGGCTGTTTTAACAACTAATGAGGTAGCTGCTTTCCCTCTCTGTGTATTTATCCGCAGTATCCTGACTTTATCAGTTTGTTCATCCACTTTTGTTGATTTTTCCAAATTATAATTAATTAGATTTACTGAGCTATTCATATGTTGTCTGTTTTACAATTAACTTTTTGTAGCTTTTTAAAATTGGGCAACTATTTGCAAATGCATTGTGCCTTGTATCATGTCCTTTCCCCTCTGGTAGCTTTTTGTTAACTTTTGAGCAGTTTGTGCCTCTTATTCTTCGAGATTTGGGCATTCTTTGTATTTATGTTTTCTGGCACAGTGACTGCACCTCTCCCTGGAGTCACAGTGCCTTGCCGGAGATATAGCTGTTTTGAATTCTACTTCTGAGCCGTATGCCTCTATGGACACCTTTTCCCTTAACCCTCTGTTTTGGTCATATACTTTTTTCACTACCTCCTCCCAGTTGTCTTTTCTTAGTGCATTAAGGATAATCACCCTTGGTCTTCGCTTCAAAGGTCTGGTGATTTTCACTTTATGGCTGGCTGAGCTTCAATTGAGTGCTTTAGTATATCAAAGTCTTGAAACTGACATCTCAGATGGCACAAGATTCTCTCATATCCAATATTTATGGCATTTAAATCATGTCACATACACCAAATTAAGCCAGTGAGGGTAATGACTTTTTGTCAAAATTAACATCATTTAGTTACCTAGTTTATTGCTGGCAATGAGCCAGAAAGACATAGAATATTGTTCTGTACAACTCTATATAACACTTATGCATGTATGTTAATTCGTTGTGAAATTATTGCACATTATATCAAAAATTTGTTTGAAATCAAAACTTGATTATGCTATCAACTAATATAATGAACTAATATACTTTATTCACTTCATATTGAACAAGAATATAAATTTTTGTAATAAACATATGATTTACCAGTAGTAATACATGTAACATTTGCTGATATTTTAGATTAAAATAAAAAATAAAAAATATATAAAATGTCAGAACTGAAGGTCATAACTTGAATATTTACAAAGCATTGACTTATTATAGCTAAATAAACTTATTATNTAAAAAATATATAAAATATCAGAACTGAAGGTCATAACTTGAATATTTACAAAGCATTGACTTATTATAGCTAAATAAACTTATTATAGCATAAATGAACTTATTATAGTAATATTATTGCATGAATATGCTAAAAATGAAATAAAAAATTATCAGAAAAAAATAAATTAAGAAAAAAAAGCATTAATTAAAATTCTTTAAGTCAACGAAACACTACCAGGAGAAAAATATGTAAAATAGATGATAGACAAGACTGTGCATGTCAAGTGCTAACATCTGTTGTCGATAAATTTTATAAAAATCGATTTTTACTAGGGTAATGACAAATTGGTATCCTCAAAGTTTTGCTTAACAATGGGGGTACCGATTGATCGGTAGTACTTTTGAGGGCAAAGGGTTAAAACAAAAGACTGTAAGCCACTAGTGTAATTATTCTTATATATTGGTATTGAAAATATCAACTGGAAAATCTTCAATATTTTTCAAAATTGTTTAGACACATTTAATAAAAACACTTACTTGTTTCCAAATTAGCATTTTCATATTCAACACAAGACAGTCTCCCAGCACTTCACTTTCCAGATTGCATCCTCCAAATACGACAATATGATCTATACCTAGAAATGGCAACAATAATGCTAGAAAAAATGGTCAAACCTTTTCTCATTTAACTGTCAAATATGAACATGTCAAGTAAACTTAAGACAGATGGATAATAAATAAGAAAAAACTACAATTTCTGAGAATACTCTTTATCAAAATAAATATATATAAATATTAATTGTATGTTGTTAATCTCCTTTACTGGAATGGCTAGATGGTCAAGATAATTAAGGCATCACAATCGCAATCTACAGCTCTAAAGGATCCGGGATCAAATCGAGACAAAAAACTCCAAGATTTTCTCTTCCTCTTAGAAACCGCATAATTTGGCATGCAATTTCTAAGAGGAAAAGGAAGACTATAAGCACTACAGAAGTGACTAAAGCTAACTATAGTAGTAGTAGAAGTAATTAGCTTTCATCACTTCTGTAGTGCTTTTAGTCAATAAGCATCTGTTGCACGCAAAAGTCCAAATTATATTAATAATTAGCCTAATTAATCAGGATACTACCACATTTAACCTGCTTGTTTACACAGCGATTCTAAAGTTTCTACATATGAAAGGTGAGACTGAACAAAAGAAGTGGAGCAGGGATTTGAATCCCACTCCAGATTAATCTTTTCTTCTTCAATCATCTTAATTAAAATAATATAAAGCTAAAATTGGCAATATTTGCCAGATATAATCACTTATTTTGGTAACCATTTAATTAAAATAATTAAAATTAACAAACTTTTAATCTATTTCAAATCAAATTTACAAATAATATTCTCTTACCTTTAAACTTTACACAAGTAGTAGTGTGTCGCCATCGATTGAGAGGTTTGCATCCATTAATAGAAAAAGATGTACATGTAAACTTTTTAGTATTACAAATAACATTCTGATCATCAAAAATTCTACTTGAATGCAAATTTTCGATTCTATGTTTCGCGACTTCTGCATCCGATTCATCGGAATTTATTTCTAAATCGATACGTAGACTTTCATTCTGGGTTCTGATCGGTGAAGATCGTCCTCCCACGATAAGCAGAGAATTGCAATTCAAAGTAATCACAGATGAATGAATTATATCTGAAAAAGTAACGAAATTCTTACTTTAAATTACTAATCATTTGTTCAGCTTATTTCATATTTAAAACTAAATACGAGTATAAAGTGCAATTACCTAATAAATGGTCATTAAAATAAATATTATAACAGACATGATTCCCGGTCTTTGCATCATACAAAACTAGATCACCGAGTCGAAGATGTTTTCCTTCCCTTGTCCCGAATCCTCCGATAATTGCTATTAATTGATTTTCCATCAGAACAGATTTGTGTCCAAACCTATTGTCAGGATTGAGTTAAAACTTTCACTGATTTCAAATCAGACTACTAAAAGTTCACCACACCTTTGAAGATGAGAACATTTGGGTAAAATCTTCCATTCTAACCTCCCAGAGTAATCTGTTAATTGATTGTTGGAACTAATTTTTTGAGCTAGAAATCAAAACAAAATAAAAGATTACCAATCACAACTGATTTAAACAAAAACAAGATTACAAAAATATACCTATATCAAGAAATGGCAGTAGAGCTCCCTGACAGGCACAGACAAGAATGTAATGGGAACACTTTAAATGCCATTCTTCAAACTCGTCAAACATCTCTATTCTCTTTACTCTGGATTTTTCTTCATCAGAAAGACTTTTGTAAAAATCATTCATGGTAAATACACAGCACGAATCCCATCCCTAAACATTTTAAAAGTAATTAATATGTGAATGTCTGCACGACTTGTGTCACCATAGATAATATATGCCCAATAAAAATAAGCAATTACCATTAAACCAGCAATTAATTGTCATCTAAACAAACGTTTTCTTCCATTTTAAACAGTCACTGTCAGGTTTCAATGTAAATAGAATGTTTGTAAAAGAACGTAAATTTCAAAATTTAAAAAGTTGCATGTTGTGAAGATAAATGCATGCTCAATGATGCATTTAAAAATTAGTCTTCCAGCTGGATTCCAGTTTTAAAATATTAAGTGTTATGTAAAATATATAAAAAACAAACTTGATGAGGATCTATTGTAGGTCAAAGGACACCCTTCACGAGCTGTTAATGTGTCTATTCTATGTCTTTAAAATGAATTGCTGTTCCCCTCCGAAACACTTTAAATATCTCCAGTTGTTCAAGACATTTGATGTTGGCTGGGTCCTCACACTGTTGGAGTAATGGGCATTGTTAAAGTCATCCCGTACATCATTATCGACAGCAAAAGAAGCCAATGAGGTAGGTGTAAGACCTTTCTGAATGATATATTTATGCTCCTTAATCCTCATTTTTATATTATGTACAGTAGCACCAATATATTAACCAGGTCGATTCACCCTATGATCATAAATAGAGATAGTATAGACCCCTGAGATACAATTTTGGTCCAATCAGTCCTTATTGTTTCTAATACAAGAGAAAATCACCGGAGATCTCCTGTAAACAATCCTGTTACTCGTAAAGCAGGATATTTCCTTGTAGATGTTGGTAAGGACCTTATTGTAAGTAACAGGTAGAAATGGCTTGTCTCTCAATAGTGATGTTTCTGCTGGATATTCCTGGCATGCAGCAAGAGTATTAATAAGGCATGCAGGGTATCCTTGCTGCCTGACTGCTTGAAATGTATTCCAGTTCTATTTTTCTATCCTCCGCCATCGAACAATAGGTGTAAGCCCTTCTTACAAGGGCCTTAAAAGTGGAGATCTTATAACTATAAGGATCATGTGATTTTGCATGGATAAAGAGCGGAGCATACAATGTCTTACAGAACACCTTTGTTCTCAAGTGACCACGTTGTAATGCAATGTTTATGTCAAGAAAGAATCAAATATCTCAAACAAGAATCCAGCTGGAAGACTAATCTTTAAATGCATCACTGAGCATATGTGTATCTTCAAGATATGCAACTGTTTAAATTTTGAAATTTACGTTCTTTTACATACATTTCATTTACATCAAAACCTGACAATGACTGTTTAAAATGGAAGAAAACGTTTGTTTAGACCACAATTAATTGCTTATTTTTATTTAATTATATACCAGTAGCATCGTGGTGATTGTATTAATATATGTCCAGTTTGCTAGACATTCATTATCTATGGTGATGACAGACATGCAGTACAGAGGCTTAGTTTTAAAGGTGTATAGAACTATAACTAAATTGGAGTTTACAGTTCGGTAAATGTTAATAAATAGACACACAAGACAAAAAAGAATGCTTCTAACAATTGGCATACTTGATGGCAGGTACTTCTTGGATACTGTATCCAAGAACACCATAAAATTATATTATATCTTCTTGGAAATGGACTTTGAGAACTGGAATCATCGTTTAGTACAGAAGAGGAGTAAATAGATTCCATTTCACTACTTGATTTTTTTATGCCAAAAATTATGTAGGAAGAGTGCATATACACAATATTAGACTCCTACTGCTGAAAACAGACACACATGTTGTTGTTGACAACCTTAGAGTTTTAGATAGACTCTAGCTTCTCTACCGTACATAATAAACAATGTACCTGGTCACAATGACCATTTATACGAAAAAGTAATACATTATACTCTACAGGTGCTTCTTGGACATAATCACAGACCCATCACTTAGGTGTAAAGCATATCAAGCACCATGTTACAGTATTATATTTTTCCTCGTGTCACTATGTCTTTGTTGTATTGCAACAGCTTTTGTTGTATTGTAAAAATATATTTACTTATTTAAACTGGAGTGTTGATAAATGGAAAATACCCACCACTGGCCAAGTGGATAAAACCACCAAACACTGATAGTTGATCATGGGTTCACACCTTGCCAATAACCAAATGGAGTTTTCCATGCTTTATTCACATTTGTGACACCTAAATAGGGGCCAGTTTCCCATAGAAAGTCTTCCTGAGAGGCATCCCCTTAGCAGATCAGCATGCATAAGAGTAACATTGCCATATACAAACAATAATTAAAAAATATGTGAAAAGTAGAAATAAAATAATATATAATAATAATGTATGCATATNAAATTTAATAATTATAAATAATTAATTTTTAATTTAGACATTTCTAAAATTTAATTTGAAATTGGTCATTAAATTTAATACAAGATGGCAGCATAACAGCCTACCTCTAGTCAAATTAATTAATTTCTAATATTTAATTATAACCTTGACATGACCCAAGAATTTGGTGTATCGTTTGGCATGTTTATTGTATAATGGGCTATGGTTATTGATGTTTATACATAATATGTGTGAACACAAGTTTGGAAAAATGTGTGATCACAAGCGACACTAAGATGCTAGCAGAACGAGCGCTAAACACAGATTGATGGAGCATGTGCACAATCTGCGACTTCCTCTCTCCTCATCACTCATTATGTGAAACATCACTTGTTAAGCGAGTCATTTCTTTACATTTTGCCCATTATGCAAGGTGCTCATTAAGTAAGGTTCCACTGTAGTAAATCACAAGCAAATTAAAATATATTTACCAAATTTCCGTATCTGTTTTGTTGAGACAAAATACTTTTGTACACAATTAAAGACTTTAGTGGAGATCTCAAAGAAGCAAAATGCCTTTGCCTTAAAAATAAAATAAACATTACCGAAATGTAGAAATCAAAAATAAAATTCTAAGACGACTAATTAAGAAGCTTACTTTAGAAATGTTGAACACTAGATTGTGTTTTTAGAACAATCACATGGCTTATTCTCCATGTTTTATTTAGTATAAAATGCTACCGTATCAACTAAATAAAAGGTGGAGAATAAGCCATGTGATTGTTTTAAAAACATGATCTAGTGTTCAACACTTCTAAAAAAATATTACAACATGGTTTCACAACAAATGAACAATAAGAAGCTTACATTATTATTCCGAAACCATCATCTGGATAGACCTAAAATTACAAAAGAGCTGACAAAATTATACTTAATTGTAATATTTCCTTTAATATTAACATGCAAATGAATAATTTTAATAGTACTTTTGTATAATTTCTATACTTATTAAGAATATATACAACAAGTTGATACACTTGTAGTATCAAATGATTGACTGGATTATTTATTTGGCTATATTAACAGAGCCCAATAAATAATCCAAGATATGTTCTTTGAAATTTGCAATGGAGGACTTATCGTATAGAAAAAAGTAGATTTTATTTCCTATTTTTCATAACAGGAAATGCATTTTGGGCCATATGACCCTCTACAGTCCTTATTACGGATAATGATAAAACTGTAATATAACTAATGGCAACAACAGGAATAACTAAGTGTTAACACTATTCCAGTCCAGTCCAGTCGTTCTCAGATTCATATTTTGATGTGTTTAAGTTAAAAATCGTACAGTTAAGCAGGATAATTAACTTCTACATAATATTTCCCCCCATTTTTCCCTGTTTTTGCACTATAAGCACTAAGAAAACCTTTTTTTCTGTGCCCGTTATGGATTCGGCCAGGCCACAATGGGAGCACTCAGGTGGCAAGGGATGAGGCCTGACATATCTAGAAGAGACCATTTATGAACAATAACTGGGATTGTTTGTCTAGAATTGATCTTGGGTCTCTCAAAGCATTAGACCTTAACTGATCATCCATCTGGCAGAACTTATTTAAGAACATGTTTTTAAGTTTTAATAAAATGGCTAGGATTATAATTGTAAAATTAATACACAATTAAGACTATAGAAACAAGTCTTTCAATGTCCTTTCTCACACCTCAGAATTTAAGACTGTTATTTTCCCGAGGTGTGAGGAAGGATGTTGTAAGACTCATTTGTATGGTCTTAATTGTGTATTAATTTTACAATTATAGTCCTGGCCATTTTATCAAATGTTTATTATATTTTTTTTATTTCTGCAATCACTGGAAGGAAGTTTTGTAATGTTTTGCATAGTGAGACAAATGAATAGCCTCTAATAAAAATTCTACTATGCCATAAGACTGTTTTTTCCTGAGGTGTGAGAATGGACATCGAAAGACTAGTTTATATAGTCTTAATTGCGTATTAATCATATGTTTTGATCAATCATCACAAGGTCTAAAAACTTTTCCAATGGATGCAAATTCTAGAGCAAATAAACTTTAAAATCACATCTAATATTTGTTTATTGATTTAACATCATCTCAAATGACTATTAAATTTCAATATAGAATTCTATAAATGAGTGAAAGTTTAATAATAAAATGCTGACATTTTACGTTATATTAAGCAGGACTAGAATTCGACTTTAGTTTTCAGAATTTGTTTAAAGAGATTCTGATGAGAAAAACGAGTAACTTGAATAACAGAATATTTAGTAACACACAATACTACTAATGAATGTGTTAAAAATAATGTTTAACTTCATTTCAACACTCTCTCGACAGTTTAATATCTTCATTGCCCTTGTAATCTTTTATATCATCACATGAAAATGCACCTGAATTATAAAAGATGATGCACCATCCTCAAATATATTTCAATATAACAAATTATTTTCTACAATATTACATTTCACAAGAGATCTGGAAAATATTAAATTGATAAATAATTATATTTTTCTGATGATAGTGACACATTGGAATCAACACTATACATGAGTAATCAATGTGCTTATTACTACCCTACTACATTTTGTAAGAAGCATTTAAATCACAAATATTTATTATTACAAACTCAAAGGATAATATTTAAAATTCTAACTGAATAAAGCAGCACATGATAAGTTAGTCAGGCTACTACTTCTCAAAGTGAAGTTTTCATTTGATCAATGTGCGTAAAATTTAAAAGAATAAAAATCACTCAAACTATAAGAAATTTACCTGTTCGTACGTAACAAATGCAGAATTTGGGAATTTAGCGGCTGACCATCGAATTAGATCATCAGAGCTGAAACATACAAATTGTGTTTAAATAATTTTATTTTTCAAGGAGATTTCATAACTATATAAATATTTAAATTAATTTTTACTATATTTTCATAATTTCTATTTAGAGTAATAAAATAAGAATACATTTTAAATTAATTTTAAATGTATTTAACCTCTTCACATCCATGTATACAATAGCACATTCTGACAGGAAGAGTGTTGGAGCAGAGTATCCGATTCCCATTTCCATAAAAAAATGGTCCACTTTTCTAATATTCTGTAGGTCGACACCAACAAGGATGTAGTCTTCAGTGGAAAGAACTGTAAGAGATTAATTTTCATGAGTTGATAACTCGCATAATTTTAAAAAGTAAAATATAAAACTTTCAAACTTGTATTTGACAAGTAAATTGACTTTTTTCTTCCAGACTATTCTAAATTTAAAATTAAACTAGAGTTACTACTTTCATTAAGTGATGGCATCTAACATCTACCTCTAGTCATTCTCATCATGTAATTTGTAATTAATATTTGTAGCATAATTTCTGCCCTATTAATTTGGCTGTTGGTTGGTTGTTAAGTAAATTGGGATTGTATTCTAAACAAATATGAAATTTTCTAGGAAAATATTTTGTTTATTCTTTTTACAGGTAAAGCATGATGTCAAGTAAGGAGGAACAAATCCAAATTATTTTGTTGTTAGAAATTGCAGATCACTCCAAGGACCACATGGCACATGCTTGTGGAGTGCACTTTCAAAATTATCTTAATATATGATTATGATTTTTGTAAAAATTCAAAAAGTAAACAAACTGTACAGGTTTCCTTTAGTTTTTAACTATTGTTCTTTGGCAACAAGAGCGTTTTTCCCATATCCAGCATGGATTTGGCAAGGTCTATATTTGAGGTAGTCAAGTGATGAAGGACAGGTTCCTTTAATCTAGAATAGATTATCCCCAAGATTCCTGAGGTTTCTAATATGGATCCAGCTCCCTCAAAGCAGAAAACTGACACTTTACAGTTCTATCTTTCCAATTGTAAGGTTCAAATGATGATAGTTACAGAAAACAGACTACGTGTATGTAGGATATGCTCTATATTGAAATGTCCACAAAATGCAGCAAAAATATTGACATTTATTTTAATATTTTTGCTGGATTATTTGTTTAAATCAAACATATGGAATTTTTCAACACATTTTGGCATTACTGCTTCCTGTTTTGGGGGGATTTTAGGTATCTAAAACAGAATTTTTATCACAATCATACACAAAATATATTGAGACAATCTTTTTCTTAAAAAAACTTAGTTGATGTTTCATATGTAACAGTTGACATACAATAGCTCGGCATTTCCTAAATACAGCTTCATACACCAGTGCTGCATCCACAATGAAATTTTCAGCAATTATATGAAATATGACAATGATGATAAATTAAAATAAAATATAGAAGTTGGATCTTCAATTCCACTTCAAATTGCTTTCAATCCAATCCAACTTTCATATTGTAACAATGTACAAAATCTCAAATTTTCCAACATATTTCAATGAGGTAACTAATTGCAATGTAATAGCCATTAAATATTGTAGGTTATTAACAGTTACATAGTCAAATCTTAATAAAATGTCACATCTGGCCAAAACAATTATGGTATCAGCCTATTGCTCCAAAGAACTGGACAGGTTGAAATATCCCAGAAATCTTAAAGATTTGCCCCAGATTTGCCAGAACCCACTTTTTGCCTCCTGGTCACTACATTCTGAGCCTGAAGAAAACCTTGACATAGTGTTGTCCTAAATAATGTCATCCTTATAAAGTTCCAACAAGAATGGATCTTCCTTGTAAATATTAAACAGAAAATCTATCTGCAAATACATATTACTAAATGTATGATTGTTCATTACAAATGGCATTGTCACCAGATCACATTACTTTAAAACTCTCAAGCATGCATAGATCCAATTATTATATAAAATTTTCATTGTTTGAGGAATTTCCATTCAATGCCATAAACTATTTAGTATCAATCTCAAAGTAAACAAATGAATGCTAAGTGAGAGTTTGAGTGAAATTTTACAATGAAGTTTTTCTATATTCAAAGTACACTTTTAATCCATTCTTTGCACAGATTGAGAACCACTGCAATAGACTATATGGCTAGATGCTAATTTTTACCTATTCCAAACAGGTCAGATTCACAATACAGTGGGGTTAGTAGGGACAAAATAACAACAAAGTAATGTACACAATCTATAATAAAATTGTGAGTTACTGCAGAAAATTGGAATATATTCAAATCCAAATTTCACAGTAAAAGAGTGCGAGTTCATTGAATTTCTGTACGGCCAATGGAAAGAATATTTTACATCACAAACCGACTTACCTATTTCTTTAATCTTGACCGGTTTTTTTGCCGACAATAGATCACGTAAAGAAGAATTATTCCTAATGCAATCAAGTTTCTTTGCCATTACTTCGAGAAAATCGACCTAAATTAAAAAAAAAAAAACAATCAATTTAAAATACATAAAAGTTTTAAAAATCATTCTTTACAGTCATTAAATTTAAACATGCAGCTCTATATCTTTTGTATTACATTGTGAAAGTGTCTACAAATAAATAATGATAAATTTTCTAATAAAATTAACATGTAAGTGTATATTCAATGTTAGTAAGTGGAGTGAAATAATGGTTTTAATAAATTTTAAATTTACAAATCTTTCTATCAATCTGAAACAAAAGACTGTTTTAATTTTTATGAATTAATTATTAAAAGAAATAATAATTTTTTAATTAAAGGTATAACTGTTGTCTAATCTACAATAATATTTATTTGTGTGTTCCATTTAATTTGATTTTTTTTCTAATTTTTGAATAATTCAAAGCTGGAGTAGCTTAGTTCACACAGAGCAAATTCAGAAAGCAAAAAATGAATGCGAAACCGGTTTAGACTGCAAGAAGCAAAAACCGATTGCAAATTTTGAGAAGCCAATCATTTATAAGCAAGAGAGAAGTGTCATTGGTAAAAATAAAACACTTCTAATGTCCTGTTTTTAACCATTGTTGCATATTTGTTTAAAAAAAAAATGAAAGATATGTTAAAAAAAAAGGATGGTGAATGAGAGAAATGTTTAAAAGATATGAATTATTTTGTATTCCCTTTGAACTTTAAATTAACAAAGTACAACTGAACAGCCTACTATACATATAGGCTATATGTAATAATTGATTCAGAGTGCATCATTATCATTAATTCAGTGTGGTGAGTAGTTATTTACCCTTTAGCAACGCCAGCTTTATGTAATATACTGATAAATATTTCTGTATCTAAACATAGAAAAGATATGGTCAGCTTCAAATTTTTCAGCTCTGTTATATTCTTATGGGATATCCATTGTACTGTACATGTGGTCCATCATTAAGCAGTACTTCATTACACAACATATACCTATATTTATATACAGTTTAGGTAAATAAGAAAGGAAAAAGTACATTTGCATTTGATACAATAGCATTTAAGTGTTGAGTTATTCTTTATTGAGTTATTATTATAAAGAAGTTACAGTGGTACCTCATACTTCAGATGACTAACTTCGAATGCTAAATTTGACAACAATTTGATTCAGAGTTCAAACTGCACATGCAGTGAAAAAATGTGCTCAGAACATAAAGTAAGCCTCTAAATAAAGAATACAATCTCAAATTAATAATGTGTTAAATTTCACAATTGTTATAATTAAATCACACATTCTTGTTAGATAAGGAGACCTGTTAAAAATACACAAATACTTTCCATTCAACTCAATAAATATAAACTTTTTTTTAACTATGGCATCCAAGGAGTATATGGAAACAACAAAGTCTAACAAGAGAAAGGCTGTAATAGCAATAATTGAGATAAAAAAAAGGAACTTATTGCAAAGAAGGAAAGTGCTACATGTTTCATTCGGTGACCATGTTTAAGATGCCAAAGTCAATGGCGTGCAAACAGTAAATACAATTTTCATTTTATTATACAGTATTTATGTATTTTATTATTGTTTTCATGTTTTAATTTATTATTTGAGCATTTAGTTTTGTTATTTTTACCTTAAATTACAGCTATTTTAAGTTTATCAAAATGAGTATTTTTAGGGTTTGAGAATGAATTAATTCACTTTTCATTATTCCTAATGGGAAAAATTGATTTGGACTTGAAACAGTCATTTGGAATGAATTACATTCAAAGTATAAGACACCACTGTATCTTTATTGTGCTGAATTTCCATATATTATAAAGAATATTAGTAACAATCTCCACAAAACTACTGGTATAAATTAATATACATAATTTCAACCATACGTAACTACTGGCAAACCAGCATAAGGTAAATTTAATCAAATTTAATGGTCATCTTCAGGTTTATACCACATAGAACTAACAGAATGCTCTTTCCTCAATGTAGAACTAACAGAATGCTCTTTCCTCTTTCCTCCATGGATAGTCCCATCTTAGGGATGCTTTGTAAATTAGCATTGAGGCACCTTGAACAATATGTCTTACCTCATGTTAACAATGACATTATGTTATACGCAAGATATGTCAATGATGTTTTGATTATTTGGAGAAAAAACTAAACCTGTCTGCATTTATAATGATTTTCAATGATTATGCTTAGGGCCTCTCTTTGTAGGTGGAGCAAGAAAACTATACTCAAATACACTTTCTTGACATAGACATTACATTACAATATGATTGGTTGAAACAAAGGTGATCAGTAAAGTCATATGCTCCACTCTTCATCCATGCAAAATTGCACAATCCTTTCAATTATAAGATCTCCTCCTTTAAAGCCCTTGTAAGAAGGGCTTACACCTATTGTTCAACAGTTAAGGATAGGAAAATAGAGCTGGATTACATTTTACGCATAGCCAGGCAACATGGATACCTTGCACACCTTATCAATGCTCTTATTGTATGACATGAGCATCCAACAAACCTCTACAATTGAAAGGTTGGTTCTTTTCAGTTGTTACTTATAATAAGATCCTTGCCAACAACTACAAGGAAATATCCCACTTTAAAGTAACTGGATCACTTACAGATCTCCTACTGTTTTTTCTAATATTAGAAACAATAAGAACCAATTAGAGAGGAGTCTATATTATCCCTCTACATGATCTTAGGGTAAATTGTCCACATCAGGGGTGTCCAACCCGCGGCCCAAGGCAAGTTCCAATGCGGCCCAATAAAGGTGTAAACAAAACCGACAAATGTTTTAATTTTTTTATTATTTATTTATTTCAACGGCATAAACTCAGAAGTTTCACAAAGACATAAACCTTTATTCACATTTTAGTTTTGAGTGGAAATGAAATATTTTCATGTACTTGGAGATGTGTGAATGAGGAAGGATTACTAAATAAAGCTGGAGTTGTGACTCAAAGGATTATAGACCAAAATTTGGTGAAAGGAGAGAAAGGACAAAAGATAAAAAGTTGTNCGCAAGTCTACAATGACGCCATCGGTCACACGTGACAACGTTCCAAAAAATTATCCAAAACAACAGTTAATTCTGGAAATTCGAATTCATATAGGAAATTCCATAGCACCTGAAGAAGAACCACATTAGGTTCGAAAACGTTTGCAAAGTCCTCAGTATTGGAGAAGAAGAATGCCGGTTACAGGCAGTGAAGTTGGATAATTTATCTATTCTGTGTTAAAATTTCTGTATAACAAGATACAATTACACCTCTGAATGAGACAGGACCTTATCAGAGCTGTAGACAATATCCATAGGAGCAAAAATGTTAAACGAACTATATCTCTAAATGTGACCCTTTGTGAAATACGATCTCTGACATCAGCCTACTTCCAGGTCATATAAAATCACGAGTCACATTGCTCCACTAAGACTATTGAATTTAACTATTTAGCCCACACAACTATGCCAGATTTGAGTAGCCCACTTGACTGTTACTAGAGTACTTGATGTTATATAGTTTTAGGCATGTGGGGGCTTGCACCACACAGGCTATGAGGTTCTTGCAATCACTCACACCTAAGTACATAACTGCATGTGAAGCATGCATGTCAAAGTCTGCCGTCACTCACCTTCACTGATGCAGAGCATGGAGAGTAGGCAGTATTTTACTTCAGTTTTACTGTGTACCAGTATACTACTGGTACACATATTTGCCTCCAAAGATCAGTTTTTACTGTGTACCAGTAGTCATATCTGTTTTTACCATGTACCAGTATACTACTGGTACATAGTAAAAACTGACCTTTGGAGGCAAATATCTTGCAAAGGGGCACATATACACATATGGCTCCTTTCACTTTTTTGTTCGTGTAGGGTCTACAGTTCTGAAGATGGAAAACCCCTCATTCACAGTTTACATCTTACTAATAATAGACAGTCAATTCCTTTGAATTTTTTATTTATATGGGCATGGCCTCCAGCTCTGATAAAGTCTTAAGTGTCTCATTCAGAGCTGCATTTGTATCGATATTTAACATTTGGAAGATTTGTAACATACAGCTTTACTGTTCAGAATTTTACTTTGCCTTACCTATTAATAAGAGCAGTTCTACAAGCTTTCCTTTTGACAAAACATTTTAAAAATTCATCATTAACGTAACCTTTTGAAACCATGGAGCACTTACTAACCACAGAACTGTCATTCGTTCCTTGAACCTGTATACAGAAGAAAATTAATGCTATTTACGATTAATTTTTATTTATAAATAAATACTTACAGCTATCATCTTGTCATTAATTAAGTTTCCCCAATATATGCTTCTTCGCAGACAAATGTAGCTAACGATTTAATTTATTTTTGATATAACGAAATCAAATTTTTAGATCATAATTTATTACAATATAAACCATTTTAAATACTTTAAGTACGTGATTAACAACTAGTAAACCGTTTACACTTTGCTCGTATTTCAAACGTTTGTTTTCGTTAGCCACCCACGTGGAAAGCTATCGCAAGCTTCAATGTTGCCAGTTCAGTTTAAAAAAGTAAATAAATAAATAATTGAATTTATAAGTATTTAATATTCTTTATACCAGATTAATTATTATAAAATTATCCAGATAAGAATTCAAAGTTATATTTAAAAAAATGGCCGTATTCATCCGTCGTTAGAGTGGGCGGCCTAGAAATCGATCGCGCTTCCACCAGAAAAATTCGGGTTTCATGCTCGCGATAGTCTTGTTTTTCTTCCTTTTAGATGGTCGTGATTTAAATGAATACGTAAAATAGTCATTTGTGTTTTTATTTTAACTACAGAGCGGCGGGAAACCCAGGATCTGATCTAGAGGGGGCAACTCATATTAGTTTCGAGGAAGTAGGGAGGGAGCAAGAGCGTAGTCAGGATTTTCTCCGGGGGAAAAAATAAGATAACGTTGTATATTAAAAACTGGTTTTATTTGAACATATGAAAGCGCTAAAAGTAATTAGTTGCAATGCTATTCGAACCTATCTAAATCTTATTTCAGCACTAGCCTACA